AGAATGACAGTGTCAGATTCGACATTTTTCTCAGAACAAAAAATGTTTTTTGTAGATGAATTGCGCGCAGGCTGTAAGCATAATAACAGTGATACAGCGCTCGCACACACACTGTTACACCATACCCATCTCCCATAGCATGGTCACTTACACGTACTTGAAGTACATGTATCTGACAATATATCAGAAAACTCTAACTGCAGCAAAAAGTGTAAACCTGCCAAATTATGCTCCAAATTTGCAACCAACATATTCCGTCATTAATTGTGCGGCATCCTCCGCCTCAGCCTAGGTGTCACATACAGTATCCACTGAGCTCTCGTTCTGTAGGCTGTCCGAGCGTACAACGTCATTAGCTGTTTCCTCACGTTTCATTCCATGTACGTCGCATCGTTACGTTGCTCTACTTCTGCCCGTCTTGGGTCACCTCCGTTGCTGGTCTTTGTTACCCAGCTTGAGGCTCTTCACTTCTGGTGATTCGTGACGCGTTAGGTGGTTGGAGCTGCGGAGGTCAAACCATCCTCTGCTACCAGTGTAACCGTTCAGCATGCACAGAAGAATGGTGTTGTTGCATTTGACATTGTTCTTGGAACAAAAAATGTTATTAATTTTGTAGATGTATTGCGCTGACAGTCCGAAGTCTAACAGTAAGCGGGCGCATAACAGCTGTGACGCAGCACTCGCAGTCCCACTGTTGCACAGCTATTGAGGGCAGGAGCAGTCTGGTACGCCAGTGAGCGGCACTGATTAAGTGGTTGGTGATATTCTGCGTCAGACACACACTGCGCCTGCTGTGCCAAGTCTGGATGTGTTGCTTGCAGGACTTGATAAAGTAAACAGTCCTGGCGGGCCGCGGATCGGCTGGCCGTCTAGTTTGGACTCTGGCGCATGTCGCAGAATGTGTACTTGCTATGAAGGTGCTTAGACCCACTTACATATATGTGCCGTTACCTCCAGCGAGATCCAGTTGTGGTGGTCGTTGCGGAGACACGTCCACACACTTCACTTACAAACTAAGACGGGGGGGAGCCCCAAGTTAAAGTGAGGGCTTCATCCCACCGGCATGTGTGGATAAACAGGAAGTGTGAGTTACGAAGTCAGAAGAAAGTGTTCAACCGTGTCTCCTGGGATGACTGCTACACCTTAGCTCAGTGGTTAGAGCATGGCTGGCCTGAAGCGAAGATCCCTGGTTCGAGTCCTGGTAGCGAGTCTGGTTACAGTTAATGTTTTCTTCAGACTTTTCTCATTTGTGTCTTTCCCACAAAACATTGAATACTAGTAGTTGATTTTCAATACTTGTTTTCATTTCAATACTACGGTTTTTGTCTCCTCCACGATATTTTAAAATAATTGAGTACTACTTCTACAACTTGCTTTCCTCAACTCATTTGAGATTGTACATACCACTAGTTGTCGCGCAGGATTCACGTGTTATTCCAGGTGTTGATCTAGGTATTGATTCAGGTGTTGAATTGACTGAAAAAATAATAATAAACGACCATGTACAGTAGCACACGCCAATGGCATAAAAATAAGATCTTCAGAGAAATAATCACCGTCCACAACAGAGTCAGAGAGACTAACAGGTCCACCAGTGGTTTTAAAGCTGTTCATAAGTCCTTCAGTACGCATGTCCATGAAATAGCCTTCCGAACCATCGACAAAGTTACTGGCCGGTCAAAGTCGTATCAAGAACCTCAGGCATCGCTTCACCACCTCAGTAAAACGTTAGGCTAAGTCGTGCCAGACGTTTGGCGTCCACATGACCGCTTACCTCCTCACGGGCTAAACACCGAGTCAGGTCTTCTCGGCTTCCAACTTTTTACTCCAGCCGAAGTGACGAAGCTGCTCTCCAGGTTGACGCAAACAAAGCTACGGGGACTGACGGTGTACCATAATTGGTCCTTATGATGACCTCCTCCACACTTGCCCCTTCCTTGAGTGACTTATTTGACGAGTCCTTGCGATCGGTGAAAGTGGCAGCTGAATTCAAGCACTGTTATGTTTCTCCCCTTTTCAAAGTGGGGACATCGACCATCGCCAGTACTTATAGTCCGATACCTCTCCTAACGATCGTGTCCCGCCTGTTAAGCCTACAGTCCATTCAGAAAAGATGTACTTGTAGCTTTTGGCGCGATGCAAGGATCTACGGGAATTAACAGGACAATCTGACGGCGTCAAATGTGAACACCATGAATTTTACTACTGTGTGAATTGGAATGCGAATATAGCGTTAGGCGCTCTGAATACCTTGCTTCAGAATCCCACTGTTGTCGACTATGCCACACCCTAGCCGCCTTTAATTCACCTACCGCTGGCTGGATATTCATTTTTCGAGGGTCGTGAAGTATTTGTCTTGCTTACTTAGCAGTTTTCATACAATATCGTTGGACGTCCATGAGGATTTGTCGGCTTTCACTTGACTTCTACTTTTTACCTTATTTGTCACCACCCAGTACTCTTTGTGACGTGTTAACTTAAGCAACCTCCTCCTGTGTACCTCTCCTTCTCATTGTGATCAACTTGTGATAGTTGTGTCTGGTAGGGTTCATTCTGCACCTCCATTATACACTATGCCCTTTGTTTTGATTTATCACATAATGTGAGTTCGTTGAGTGTTCACTCCTTGCGCCAGTATCTTACCAATATAGTGAAGGCAACGGAAGACGACAATGACTTTCTGACTGGGAAGCTGTTTCCCGCTTCTCGATTTGTGTTGATTTGTCACATTATGTAAGTAAGTGGAGAGTTGACAGGAAGAGGGATGGATCACTAAGCCAGTCGTGTGTGCCTTCCTCAACGGAATCACCACCAGTACAGTTGACATGGGATTGGGGTGGAGTCGGCAGCAACGACAATACTGCCAATCACATAAACTGAACCCGCTTCTTGGTACAGGGTTGTGCAGGCACCGCAGCTCACCGCAGCTCTTGAGCTGTTGGAACAGAGACAGCGGAGGTCCACTGCAAACAACTCAACGGAGATATATTCAAGGAATGGTCAAAACCGATACACAGCAGCGAAGAAAAACATTAACCAGAAGCAAAACGAAACATGGAGACGCTGATGAGCTACGGACAGAGACACGGGGAAGTCGTGGCAGGGAGAACACGGATGGTATGAGACTGACTGGCGGTGAACATGAGTTGGATGACAATACGGCGGAAGAGGACTAGGTGGATGATGACAAGGCGGCGGATGACGAGGCGGCGGATGACGATGAGACAGTTGGTGGTGATTGCGAAGAAACGGACGTTATAAGAAGTCAGGTGGCTTGGAAGGTGATGAAGTTGATAAGGGTTGTTAGCACGTCTGGATTGTTAGGCTGTGTATGACGATACCCACTTCTTTGTACTATGTCGTGCTCATCATGTACAGCAGTTGGAGGTACTTGAAGCTGTTTGTATTCGTAAGCATAAGCCTGATCTTTGTAATCAAAAAGAACATTTTGTAGCACTTACGTTATTTTCGTGAGTCTACACGGCTTGTTCATGAGTTTATTTCTGCACATTTCATGCCCATTTGTCACACTTACGTTCTAACTATAGTTTAGACCTCACTTTGATATTACTTACGCCTTTTCTTGTGAGACTAACTTGTATTTTAAGCCTTAGTTTTTTTCGCTTCATCACTTTAGTTGCTACCAGGTTCGGCCTCGTGTTCTCTGTACTGCGCTGATGAGTCCTCAAGCACGGGACAGTTCTGTCCGCAGAATGAGAATATTCCGATATTAATAATTTCTCAACCTCTATCAGGTTTGGCATAAATTCTCTGTGTTGGGTTGACGAGTCCAGAAATGATGAGACAGTGCTGTTCGGAGATTGAATGCCGGTACTTCTAACATAAATAGCGCTATGGCTCTTGTCAAATTATTTTTGTTATTTTCAGTTTTTGCACGACATTGACCAATGGTACTGACGTTCTAGACCTAACTTGCAATAAGCTCTAACACATCTCTGAAGCAAACTCCAACAGCCTTCCAACTTGGAAGGTTCTAAGCTACTGAAACAAAATAAGGAGAGGAAGTTGAGCCCAACTAAGATAAGCACGACCTAAAAGTCTCACCTGTGAAGGACGTTGGCGGATGTACATGTACGTCGACTACTATAGTGGCCAGACCTTGGACAATACGGTCAAACCAGGATTCAAGGACGGAAAGCAACTTTCCACACAACTTGTATGGCGCAAAGATGCGAAGATCAATTAAAGGGGAAGCTATGCGAACAGGGATCATGCAAAACCAAACGCCTTAATGAAACCTTGATCTTTGGTTCCTTGGTTCTTCTTCGTTTCTATAAAACTATCTTTGGCTCTCCATCCGAGTCAATTCTTGCACACCTGATGAGCCGTCCTTATCCATACGGCAAAACACTCATCGTGTGAAACTGCTGCATGTTGTTCCTGCTTATTGTGCTTCTAAATTGTCATGGTCGACGTACAGTGCTGTTGTATTGAGGCGCTCGGTTTTCCTTTGTCCTTTTTCTTTCTATAACTTTATCCTTGGCTCTCCATCTGAGTGCATAGTGTGTTTTCAAAAATTAATGATTTGGTGCATTCAGTGCAGGTGCAGGGTAAGACAAAAAAAAACAGAATAGAACGTACCCGTAGTAGTAGCCAGATCCGTAGGAATAACTGCAAAATATAACGGAAAAATGCACACACGCACATATACCAGCACACAGATACCAGCACCCAAAGGACATGCGTTATATACAGAAATACATAAGATTACTTTGTCTTTCTGTTTAATATTAGAGGGTGCGACAGAGCTCTCGCTCTCGACCGATGAATAAAATGTTGATATCACCTCCACCATTACACTGCGCTCGAAACCAAATTAGCGCTAACTGTCACAGGATAAATCTAAAACATCAACAACATGGATAAGTGAGAAAATATCTGCCCAGGGCTGACCAAACAAACCACGTTATACTACTTGAGCAATTGTAAATGAAGGAACTTACGTTGACATTTGCCCATGGTCCACTGGAGGTTTTGTCCACAAATACAGTTGACAGCTGCCATTCTCCCTACATGATTACATTCCACCACGTGAGTGTCATTGCATTCCAAAATGCACCCTGGAGGGGAGAAATGATATATATTATAATATTAATAATAGGAAAGGTTTTCTCCCCACACCGGAGCTCGCGCTATTCCGCCGACTTTACTTGACACTTGACTGACTCACGACTGCCATCCAGAGCACACGAGAAGTCCATCGAACCTTCGACTCGGCAAACCTGCAAGGAAGCACCACTCCCTGCTCAATACACAGTGTTTCGGGGAATTCACCCCTCATCAGTTGAGCTTGAGTAGGCTGGAGAAGATTGTGCCTGAAGAGCACCACTTTTATAGTGCTCTCCAGGCACAAACATCACCAGGGATACAAATTTACAATGACGCTCCGCTTCCAGCGCGACAAACACCTCGTGAACACCAGATAGCAGCGTGAGTCAGTGTCGCTCCTGGACGGCGAGACAGACGTCGAGGACCCTCGGTCTTTCGCAACGCTGTCACCTTCAAACCAACTAGTCGCAAGCCCGCGCTTGGCACAACAGTACGAAGTAGTGGTTGCGACTTCGGCGATGATTTGTAAGAAAGGTTTGCTCCCCACACCGGAGCTCGCGCTATTCCGCCGACTTTGCTTGACACTTGACTGACTCACAACTGCCATCCAGAGCACACGAGAAGTCCATCGAACCTTCGACTCGGCAAACCTGCAAGAAAGCACCACTCCCTGCTCAATACACAGTGTTTCGGGGAATTCACCCCTCATCAGTTGAGCTTGAGTAGGCTGAGGAAGATTGTGCCTGAAGAGCACCACTTATATAGTGCTCTCCAGGCACAAACATCACCAGGGATACAAACTTACAGAGACGCTCCGCTTCCAGCGCGACAAACACCTCGTGAACACCAGATAGCAGCGTGAGTCAGTGTAGAAACCTTTCTTACAAATCATCGCCGAAGTCGCAACCACTACTTCGTATTATCACTCCCTTAGTATTGACTCGCATAGATTTTTGCCATGCAAAAGCAGTCAAATATTCCTGCATATTTCACTCCTTAGGGCTATATTGACTGCTTATATTTGACTGCTTAGGGGTTGCGCAGTTGAACGGTGCCTAGTGCAGTATTGTCACTGCATGAGTAGGTGGTGGTGCAACGGTTGTGCAATCATAAAACCGGGGTTCATGAGGTTATCGTTCTGGAATTTGAAATACGGACTGTTTGTCGTGATAAATCTAATGTTGACTTTGTACTTGGTCAGTATAGGAAGTAAAAACCTCGTAAAAGACCTCGGCTTCGCCTCGGTCTTTTACTCGGCTTTTATTTCCTATATTGACCTCGTACTCAGTCAATAGTAGATACATATTAATAATGCAATGAATATAACTAAAGGCGCACTCATATAACAACCATGGGGACGAATCATGTATTCCAGAACGTTTTCTTGTCACAATTTCGTCCCAATGGTTGTGATATGAGTGCGCATTTAGTTATATTCATTGCATTATTAAGATTATTGTATCCAGCTCCGCCATGACTTGAACCCGAGACCTTGTTTGTCCCGAGCAATACTCTAACAGTGTAATCCATGGGACAAGGGCGAACTTAGAAGGCGCGGACAGGATTTCACCCCAACGGCCAAATGTGAATGTTTGTTTGCTTGGAAGAGATATTTGAAGCACTTGATATTCCTTAAATATTTTGTTTGTAATTGCATAACTGGTGTACTTCGAGGTAAAGACTTACTTTCACATAAAGGTTGCCTTGGTTGCCACCTTCCATTGCCCTGGCATGTAGACTGGGTTATTTCCATACTATTGTTAGACAAAAAACCTGTTATGCATTCGATGGATACTGTGGTACCTGGTAGTGTGTTGAAACTGGCAACAGGTTTGTAATTGAACTTGGTGTCAGTGAGAGTAGGACATTGCACTGGGAAGAAAGAGACAACATTCAATGCAGTTACTCACAATAAGTGAACAGCCCGCAACTAAAACCATTACTGTGATGGTCCATAGAGATAGAAGCAGACAATATTTTGCTAATTACACGGAACATGGGTGTACCCAGACCTGCTGCACTTGTCCATGTTCTGTTGAAAACTAATTATTCACAGATTTCAATAGGACAAGTATAGGTGACAATTTGATGAAACCTGGAAAGCGAATAACAACCCGTGTTAACATGACAGGAAAACAACAACTTTGGAATGGGAGAGCACGCACGGTTTTGTAAGAAGTGTGCTCGGTGTGCGTGGCTAATTTTCATGGAGAGATTACCATCAGTACATTCACCCTAATGGTTATTGCATGGCTGAAGAAATTGTTGCTAGTTCAGTTATCCGACATGTTGAAGAAGGAGAAGGTGATGGAAGGTAAGGATTCTGAATAGCTTCAAGTGCAATGCCAGCAACCGAACAGCAGCAACAATTAGCAGCTAGTGCAGTGCCAGAGGCTGCCTCACTTTGTTCAGTTCGTCCCTTGATGAATCCCCCTTGGCCACGCTCGTACGTGGCACAGGTGATAAACAATATCTCGGTATGCCTGGAAAGTGGCCAGATGTTGTGTATTTCCCTTAGCACTCTCAACCATGTCAATTACTAGCTCTATACTCAACATACAATACGTGTGCACATCAGAACTGTGCATTGTGATCTGCATGCATATATGACATGTACATTTGGCTTCATGTTCAAATTAATATTTTCCAAATTTGCTCTTGAAGTTTGATAACAGTCTACTTGAGGAACTTCAGCAAGCGAGATATAGATCATGATCGATGTCTCATGTTTGTACAAACCCAAAACACGACGGCATCAGTGAATCAGATGCGCAGGTCATGACGTATACATGCATGTATATTCTGTCCTCAGACTCCTCACATACAACGGAGGCGAACGGTTGTGTAGCCCTTACAGCAAGTTTCACGCATTTCATCGATCACCAGACTGCAGTATTTGGCATTCACCCTGAATGCCATATGCTACTATTTGATGATCGCTCAATTGCGTGCAACTTGGAGTTACAGCTACACACTGTGTGACATCATTTCGCCTCCGTTGTATGCTGCTCTGCCTCGAGCTGCCTCAACTGGCCTTGTTGGCTTATGTGCTAGACCAATAACAACACATTGTAAATATACCATGCGTGCCTGAATTCAGTATTTCACAATATTGCAGAGCACTTCAAGATTCACGCGCGGACGCGCAGCAAATGCCACGTAGATGAGCTAAAGGCTGTTTACATTGCCAAAACCACAGCCTAAACTTTGTAGACAGCAGGAATTTGTAACGAAACGAGTGCTATTTTGACCTCCCGCCTCTCTGTAATAATTTTTGTACTTTTTCGTGCAACTCACACAATCAATCATAATTTCTCCACCGATATGCTGTATTTAGGAAAATTCACTTTTCAACTCCAAACTCCAAAAACTCCGATTCAAATTCAAATTTACATTGCACCAAATTTTCGGGCCTGGCCAATCCTCAGGGTAATGAATGACAAAATGTCAATTGCATAGGTACTTATTGAACTATATGTATGAAGACAACAACTAATGACACTGAGAATCTGAGAACGTTAACTTGTTGGTGTGAATATGCTTGGTGACGATTATGAAGGAAATAATTGTAGGTGATGTATGTCTCAGCAGTAACGTGTGTTTGTATTAGGGGGGGGGGGGGGGAGCTTCAATTAATCTCATTGGACAGATGCAAATACAGAGGGATAAATTGTCTACCCACATTTACGACATGCCTTGGCAACAGATATACATATACAAGGGTAGAATATTACTAACCCATAATTCTTCCTTGAATTGATGGTGTGTGTGTGTGTACGTGTGTGTCTGTGTGGGTATCTGTGGATATCTGTGTGCGCGCGCGTGTGTGTGTGTGTGTGTGCGTGTGTGTACGCAATCGCCATCGCTGTTCAACGCACTGCCACCGTCCAACGGCTAGATAACGGGACAAGTTCCCGCATATTTGTATCTGCTCTCGCCTTTTGCGATTCGTCTCGCATCTGGAGCGTGATTGGGTAGCGTAATCTTTCTCTCTCTCTCTGCTGCCCCTCTGGGGCCCACGTGACCCTAGTGGTAGTGGCTCTACTGGACGGGACAGGTGCGTGTGTGTGTGTTTGTGTGTGCATTGGCTACTAATGGTAGTCGGCTAAGTGCGCTCGGAGGATTATAAGGGGAGGAGAGATTGTTGATATGTTGTATAAACTATAAGTGGACAGCGTTGTGCTTCGTCACATTATCACCATGTACAGATTTGAGAAATAAAGTTTGATCCGTTCTTTCTTTTATTTGAATTCGTTTACTTGAGTAATGGTACGGAAGGCCTAATCATAGGCAACTGGCTTCGTCTCTTCGTGTGCCAATATATCTCCATTGTTAAAGAAATATAACCTTAACCCTTTGGGCCTACCCTGAAGTGACCGCAAGCCGAAATGTCCTGCATATTGTGTGTGCATTGTTCATTTTTCATCGCAGCAGTGATTCCACTTTACCAATTGTGACATTACTCTGCTTTTGCTTTGGCTCATTACTTAGTTAACGAAAAGGCGGCGAGGAGACAATAACTTAATTAATGCGATTAAGAGTAAAAGTGAAGCGAACATTACGAAATGATGAATGAGAATACATGTATTAAAATTGATGTTTCTAATCGATTTTCTTGAGACTATCATCAGGGAAAAATCGTCTCACAATGGAGGCTATACGGAGAAACAAACTACTTATAGGTCTATAGGATAGCGGGAAGTATACTAGGTGAGGTGTGAAAAAAACACTAAATTGGGAGAGAAGAAGAAAGAAATTTGAAGAAAAGATGTGAGAGTGTTCCGACGGTGTGAGCTACTACAAAAGGTGGGTGAAATGAAGGCGTGGAAGCAGGTGAATGTAATAGTCTTAAGAAAATCGATTAGGAGCATCAGTTTTAATACATGTATTTTCATTCATCATTTCGTAATGTCCGCTTCACTTTTACTATTAATCGCATTAATATTTAGTAAACGTTCGCTCTAATTCCGGAACGTCTTGGAGTGCATGATTGGGCTTTCTACTGCAGCCAACAGTGGCGGTGAAAGGTTTAACGTGACTGATTTTTTAGTTGTCATCGCCCTCATCACACCAGTTAGTGGCTAAAAACAAGTAATTCTGAGCAAATATCGTTACCAACCTTGAATAGTGACAGAGACAGTGGTAGATAGTGCCTTGGCGGAATTCACACATCTGTCAATCGCACTTTGTGGCCGTTGAGGACTTGATCCCATTCCAATACAATCAAAGTTTGTAGTATACGATGTTGTACAGATTACATTAAAGGTAACACCTGATGTATCACTTTCTGTAAACATAATCTGGGAATCATTCCTCCGGAAGCTGAACATAGAATCCACCATATTCGTATATGTCAGCGTCTGTATCTTCTGTGAGTCCAGAGATAATGTTAAGCTCCAAGATACGTTGAGAGGAAAGTTTCCACTTGACATGCATGGTATGGTGTACGAAACACCAGAGTAGGGCAATGTCAGTGATGTAGGTGATAGTCCAGACTGAACTTGTTCAGCTGTACGAGAAAGACACACGGGTACAGCACTGAAATACATGATACAACTGACCAGGCGAAAACAGTCTTCACAGCACCTTAAGAGAGCATGCCTGAGAAAACCAGAAAATATGTGCAAGTCGATCTCTCAGATTTCGCCCAAATTTTGCAGGTAGGTTTGCTTTGGGGTGTAGATCGACATTCCAAAGCCCGCGCAAAATCTTTTGTAGTGAACTATGAAATTGGTATACCCCTCAATATTGGCCAAATATTGGCATGATTTATGGGTCTACAAACGAGCCACGGCACAACGTACAAGAACAAGCTACGAACAAAACTTCATCAAGCCAACATTACCTCACCTTAGAAGAGTTCTTGGGGCAGCAGCACTTAGCCACGCCAGCATCCCAGAAGACGAGGGCAATCACCTCAAACACTATACACTATTCAAAATTGTTTACTTCAAGAAAACCCAAAAAGGATGATGGGGGACATGTCCTCAGTGCTAGAAGAGGTGTTCTACTATCTGCCGGTGTATAGTGTTTGCTAATTGAGGACGTAGCTCGCTGTTTTATCAGCGCTTGTAATTTGGCTATTCTCAAGACGATCATTTCTGGCGTCAAGAGATGATTGCCCTCGTCTTCTGGGATGCTGGCGTGGCTAAATGCTGCTGCCCCAAGAACTCTTCTAAGGTGAGGTAATGCTGGCTTGATAGCGTTTTGTTAGTAGCTTGTTCTTGTTCTTGTACGCTGTGCTTTGTCTCGTTTGTAGACCCATAAATCGTGCCAATATTGGGCCAATATTGAGGGGTATGCCAATTTCATGGTTCCCTTCAAAAGATTTTGCGCGGGGTTTGGTGTGTCAATCTACATCCAAAAGCAAACCTACCTGCAAATGTTAGCGAAATCTGAGAGATCGACTTGCACATATGTTCTGGTTTTCTCATACATGCTCTCTTAAAATACCAATGCAGAACTGGGCGTGCATTGACGGCAAAACCATTCTTGTAGCATGAATGAATGTTTGCAGAAATAGTTACAGACAATGGCGTGTACAAATGGTGGTGCGAGGGCGAGACCAATCCTATAGCGACTAGAAAATGACCCTCTGAGACAAAGTTCTTTTGAAGGCAGACGCCTGGATCAGTGAAAAGTCTACGAGGTTATTGCCAGTAAAATCGAACAGATTTTCTTTTCGAACTCAGAGTTTCTCGCTTACGTGATCATCGGGAAGAATTCTGCTATCAATAATGCACAGGAAAGTAACTGGCGAATCTTTGCGCGAGGAAGACAGTGGGAATCATGCGTATACATCCTCTCCCACCCACTACCACTCTCCCACAGTGTGTGACACACACGCACATACACATACATACATACATACATGCACACGCGCATGACATAACAACAACAAACAAACATAATTATATCCACACTCATTTCAATACACGACCACACGCCCACACTCATGCACACATGTGCACACGCTCTCACACATACGCAAACACTCCGCCTCACACACACGCACACGCGCGTGCGCGCACACACACATACAAGTGCACAAACTCACACCTGCATTGAACACCTTCACACTGCCCACTGGGAGACTCAAGCACCATACATTCACACTCATCCATACATATGAAACACATGACGTCTGCTCATATTCACGCTAGCATCCACTTTGAACTCATGCTATCTCTCATAGACACAATCTACAGGCGAACATTCCCACAATACACCCACGTGCACACTAGTACATGTACATACTGTACCCTCCACAGAATCCTCACCTTTGCACCCAGGATACTCATTCATGCACACCACACACTTACCTACACCCACTGAACGCTCACCTACACACGAACACACCGGCACATCCACGCACACGCTTCACCACGCCCACACACGTATGCATATGCATACCAAAAGCACACATACACACACACACGCACACGCGTACACACCCAAATATGGCACGGTAGAGACGTGCTCTGCCAGCATGCGTTTAGTTTCACTGCTATGTGACTAGTTCGTCAGCGTGAATGTGAGCAGGCATCATGTGCATGTATGGATGAGTGTCACTGTGAATGTGTTGTGTCTGAGTCACCCAGTGTTCGGCGTGAAGTTTTTCGTACACAAGCGTGTGTGTGTGGGACGGGGTGGGGGGAGGATGAGTGTGCGAGTACATTTATGTGTGTGAGGGGGGGGGGGGGGGCGGGGGAGGGTGTGTGAGACTGTGTACGTTTGTGCGTGATTGTGTAGGTGTGGGTGTTGGAGAAAGTGTAGGTATATACATGTATTTGTGTGTTGCTGCTTATTGCTCGCGCACGCGCGCGTGTGTGTATGTGCATGTGAGAGTGGGTGTGAGTGCATATGCGTGGTTCCCAATGATTCTTCAGTTTCTTTCCTGTGCATTTACATGTTTGTAAAAATATATTATTCCCGTTTCAGACCAGAATAAGTATAGCCTGATGACCTGTGAAACTCTGAGTTGACATAAATGTTCCACCTCACTTGTAAGGAAGCTGTACCCTTCCGTTTACTTTGTGTTCTATAACCAGGCGATCTAACTGTTCTCCGTTGTTGTCTAAGGACTAGTCTAAAGTAACCTTGCCGTCACTAGGGGTCATTGCAATGAGGGTTCCTTCGAATTGCAGTCTTTGCATTTTTGTGTCTATGAAAAAGTCACGTCTTCAGCATATGCATTATATACATTGAACAAGATCTCCCGTGGCTCACATATTCAGCACATCTTTCCTATGGTTTGTATCTGGACACACCATTATGTCTGTCGCTGCACTGCCTAAGTACTCGAACGAGGACCAAGATTGCTAATACAATCATGTGAATGACTCTACAGACATCAACAGAATAGGACTTTCGGAAACGGTGCCAGGCATTTGTAGTATGTCGCTCACACTATCCGCCCATGGTTATATAATCAGCAATTGGTAGGTCACGCTTTTCATGAGAACTTGAATCCTTACTTGACATACAACATCCAGCGTACCAGAGAATTCTTTCGAACCTTCCACTCAACAAACCTGCACGAAAGTACCACTCCTGCTCAACACGCAGTGTTTCGGGGACCTAACCCCTCATCAGCTGAGTTTTAGTACGCTAATGGTATGTGTCCTCCGACAGCACAGCAATATCAGGACTGTAAGGCTCAATGAGCCTTAACATCTTAAAAGAGTATTATTTTTAGAGTGTTGTGACTTTGGTTTGTTGTTATTCTATGAATTTACAGCACATTTAATGCTTGTTTTGAATGTATGTTGTCGAGTTGGAACATATTTGTACTTCCTATTCTTACCGCTGCCAGCTGCTGTCGTCTGCGTTGTTTCTGACTATCTGGCCCTCTCTTCCTTTGATTATTGTTGCTAGTTGCTCGTTTGACATGTTCTCTCTAATCCTTGGTGGGTACGTCGATTGTTCAATCATTCTTTTACTTGTTTTTTAAGGAGTTTGCGGTTCACTTTTTTTCCAATTTCGAACGTGAGACCTCAAGGTCAAATTGGAGCATCTCACGTTGCAACGTCAGATTTCAACGCGACAGAGGGCCGACTCATGGTGCAAAATGCGATTCAACTCAGGTTTTTTCTCATGTTCGAAATTGTACCACGTGAAGCATAAACGTTCTAATGTCGATCTCTTCGCCGAACTACTTTGCGCTCTGCGCCTGTTGTTAGTTTTTAGAATAATCGGATATTTCGAACAATCCTTGCATAACATGCGATAGTTGTTGAAAATGGCAATTGAAAAAAATGATCTCAGGAAAGGGAAATCAGTTCTAAAACTTATACAAAAGAGAAAGACCAAGGAAATACAAGTTACGCTGTACTGTAGTTCCTTGGTCAAGCCGTTTGGAAAGCTGTGCGAGGTCAGGAGGCCGGAGTACTATTGTACGGTGAAAGGCTCCAGAATATTCTTCATGCTTTGTTTCTTCGTGATTGTACAGTGCTAAAACTAGTCATGGTTGTCTTTAGCATGGAGAATTGTAATTTAACGGCATGCTCATGACTCAAGCCAAGAAATACAATGTCATGTAATCGTAGAGGGGGGGCAGAGGAAACATACATTTCACCCCTTTTTCCATGTTCCACTATTTCCTTGTCACACAAAATGCAACTTGCAAGTGCGCAGAGCATCCGAAACAACCGATCTGTGGCAGCACTTTTTTTTTTTTTTTTTTTTCACTATTGACACAGCCCTACTGGAAAACAGGTGGAGAACAAAAGAAACGAGGAAAAGGACAAAACATAGGGGATGTAGGGACGACGTGCTGATGTGCTGGGAGCAACTCAACCGACCAGAGGTCTCGGCGTCAGCGTTGCAACTAGGCATCGAAAAAAGTGTGTGTGTGGGGGGGGGGTGCACAAGAACAACTGCAAAACAAACAGAAGCTAGAGAATACCACAAATAATAACTTGGTGCGAAATAATGAGAAGAAAATAATGACGCCCAAAAGCGCTAAATACGAAATTAAGAAAAAGGAAATAATAAACCACATAGCGCTAAAGCTGCACCAAATAATAATTTAAATTATAACTAAACCGGGTGGAAAACCAAGAAATCATAACAAACAAAACAAACTAAGTAAAAAATTAATAATAAAAATTTAAATAATAAAAGGTAAATGAAGCCCAATATCATCAGCATAGCCGAACCAAGGAACATGACCGGTGCCACAGTCAGAAGTTCATCCGTAGAAGTCGGTAGCCATCAGCCAGTGTTGGTGCGTGAGGTACTTATGGACATCTTCTTTGAACGTGTGGAGCCGCTTCAAGCTGAGTGGAGCCCTTACAATTTCGCTTGGCAAGCTGTTCCATACTGAGACTACAGAAAACGGGAAGGAGCGAGAAGCATAGGCAGGTGCTCTCCTGTCCAGGACTTGCTGCAGCTGCACATGGTGCTGCTGGCCAAGAGGGGGTTGACTCCGGGTGCGCCGAGCTTCTACATGGTTGGCTGGAGGGGGGATCATGGCGGTGAGCTGGGGTGGTCCTGGGAA